CGAGACTAGTTGTAAATAGGACACAGGAACGACACAGGGACGGCACAGAGAGCAGCGTTTAGTGACGAGAGGGCACCTCTCTCTCGTAGTAGAGGCAACGCGCACGTCAAACAATAGGCGACGGCGGAGGACGGTAGAAGAGAGATGTAGAGCTACGCGGCTACGGGATACATATATATAATAAAAACAGCATCCCTGATCGAGTTGTGTGGGTAGCTGTACGAGGGTGGATGTGTGAGTAGACCGAGGGCTGGTGGATAAATTTGGTCAATACGAATTTAATGTTTAAGTAGTAATGTATTGAATCGTGCCTTAAGGCAAATTGCTGGAACTTCCCGTAAGGAAAAGAAAAAAATCTAGTGGGGCGCATAGCACCGTGCCTTAAGGCAAATTGCTGGAACTTTCCGTACCGGAATGAAATATTCGAGAAATTTTAAACGTTTTCAAATATATTATTATACAAATACTGTGTAACTTTCATTATTTTTCCTATTTTGTTATATCTGAGCAAATCAAATGTAAAATCATAAATCAATTTATCCCCAGAACATTAAAAATCGCCATTCCATTTCATTCCGAATTCAATTTCAAAAAAAATAGTTGTCTAATTTACACAAAATTGAAAAGTGTCAGTCCAGTCTAAACGCATTTGCAAATAATTCTGTGCGACATTTTCACTTATACTGTGCTTAGCTTGGCGGCATTTTCACGTTTTTCAATAGTTTTCACCAAATTGTACATAAACAGTTTAAACGCACTTGGCTAAACATTTGTACCAGAGTGGCGCTTAGACCGTGCTTAGCCTGGGTCATTTTTTGAATTTTTAATCCATTATTACAAAAATATTTTTTGAAAAAAAAATTAGAAACAATTTTTTTTTTCGAAGGCAATTATTTTGTTGAAACGAGAAAGTTCTTTGAATCATTTAAATCGGACGCTTAGTTCTCTCAAAGACTGCCATTTTTTAACATTTAGCTCTGTATCTCCGAAACCGCTGGGCATACCTTTGCCACTAAAACTAATAACCACTTTTGGTCGTCATTACGAACTGAATGTTTTTTGGATCATACAAACATTTTAAAGTTACATCGTAGTAAAAATCTTGATTTAATGAAAAATGCCTGAATCAGAAGAATATTTTACCCTGTAAACATTTGTGTCGTAAACTAAACGTAAGTTAATTGAAAATTATTTTAAAGGTTAGAAATTATTACTATGTTATTCGTAGTTTCTATAAATCTTTGAAGTTATTAAAACGAAAAATATTTTTTAGGCAAGACAGATATTACAGCTGTTCAAAGAATGAGATTATATCGCCAGCGAAAAAGTAAAAAAAAAAATACAAGCAGTCAATGAATGTATGTTAATTTTTTAACTTCCCGTAGGGTAAGTTATAGTAATCGCAAAAAAATCGAAAATAAAAACTTATATACATCTTTATGTTTCAGAAGTTTCTGAATATTTTGGCATACCTTAGAAAAAATGGATGTATGTGTGTGTGTGCGTGTGTGTATGTGTGTGCGGATACAAATTTTCGTCAACGATTTCGAAATCACGGATGAAGCAATTTGAATAATTCTAAAAACATTCGATTCGTATTAATAAGAAGACGAGTGCTGATTAGTTTTTGGCAAAGGCAAGGCTAGCCGTTCCGAAGATATGGGGCAAAAAGTGCCATAAACGGTAACTCAGTTTTTAAGAGAACGGAGCGTCCAATTTGAATAATTCAAAAAACATTTTACTTGTATTAACAAGATGAAGAACTGGTCAAATTTTCATGAAGGCAGGTCCAGCGGTTTCAGAGATCTAGTAAAAAAAAGTAAAAAATAATGCCATTTGGCGGTCAAAAATGATCATCAGACATATGCACGTCAAACTATTAGATATTTTATAGAAATTTTAACAATAAATATAAATTTTGTTTACATTCCTATGGGTTACGTATCAATGCTTATCCGTTAGACGGCGGCGCGGCGCTTACGCGCTTCGATATTTTGTCTGTATGCAGTTAAAGCAGAACGATTGCTTTGAAAAAAAAGTTCAGAATTTTCAAAATATTTCAAAATAAATTTTTCTTCAATAAGCCTTTTTGTTAAAAAAAAAGTAAATTTTTGTCAAAAATTTATAGTTTCTCAAAAATCTAATTTTTTCAGAGTAATTTTTTTTCAATAATGTTAATCTTTTTTAGAAACAATAATTTTTGGTACGGGAAGTTCCAGCAATCTGCCTTAAGGCACGAAGCCATGCGCCCCTCTAGTTATCATGTACATATTTTGTTTTTGTTCGTGTTTTATGGTGAGCAGTCGAAAAATTTGAAAAATACTCGAATTAGAATGAATGTATTAGAAATAGTTCTGTGTGGAAAAGACACTAATGGCATAGGCGCCAAAAGAGAGGTGTGTGGGGGGTGCAGACACCAATATTTATATATACATACATACATAAATACATACATATTATATATATATATATATATATATATATATATATATATTATATACATATAAACATATACATATGCATTAGGAAGAGGTATGAGGTCCAAACGTGACGTAGAACGCAGCCTCTTTGCGCATATCACATTTATATATATATATATATATATATATATATATATATATATAAATGTATCTGAATATTTGTGGCTTAATACCGGAGCCGTAACGTACGGATTAAGGCCTTAAAGACTTTTAAAGAATAATCGCCAAACAAACAACCAAATACTGTAGATGTATATTACTTTTTATACGTCCATCGGCAAAAATAAATAAATACAAACACACCAGTAGTTAAAATACATTGCTTAATAAATAAAAATTTTCAAAAATAAATTTTATCTAGTTTTCACTAATGTATACGAATTTAAATGTACGAAATAAAAATTTTAAGACATGTAAAGAAATGTCCTAAATTCACATATTGCTTATATCATAATACTAAATATACTAAATACAAAACTACGAAGCAAAAACTATTAGTTTTAAAATATCATTATAAATATCATTTCATCTAAAAGTTCCAAGTTGATGTTTTGTATTAAATCAAAATGTTTGCTTAAAAGGATTCTTGTAAGTCAGTTAATGTGAATCTTATAAGCCTTCGATTTGAATCTTAAAAGAATTTTAAAAAATATCTTAGTGATATGACTGATATCAACCCGAAATTTGGAAAATAAAATTCATAATAAAATTTAATGAGATTAAAAGGGATGTTATACACATTAAATATTAATTTTAATCTCAAAATTGTCGTTTTCAACTCTTTCTTTAAAAACAAATACAAATTTATTATTTATTTGCTCTATGGTATTGTGCTTTAAGGCAAATTGCTGAAACTTCAATAATTTTTTAAAAAAATTGAAAAATCAACGTAAAGATATCTTCTTATATATAAAAATGGAGCTATCGATTAAATGATTCGCTGAAACTCGAAAACGGCTGAACCGATTTGGCCAATCTTAGTCTTGAAAAAATCGTGCTAATCAGTAGGTTGTCGGAAAGGTGAGATTTTATTTCAAAATCGCGTAGAAAGTTTACATTTTTAATTTAAACATTTTTGTAGATGCGTAATGTAAATAAAACAATGGACGGTGGCTAATACGTCAAATGTCAAATGTTTTTGATAGATGAATCTCAATTACGTTTAATAGGATGTTTTACGTGAATATTATTTAATTATGATTAAATTGTAGTAAGTAGATTTGTTCGTAGTTATATTTATACACAAAAACGTTATTAAACGGATCGCAAGTGTTATTAGAAACTCAAAATATCAACTTTTTTGAAATGTTAATATGAAAATGCACTTTTTGGCATATTTTTCTCAAACACGAAGCTCTGGAAGCTCTCATTTGTATCATTATTTACTCATTGGTATTTATAAAAAATTTACTAGGTTATATTATTTTTCATTCATATTATTTAAATTCAGAACCTAAATTTTGGTATCGATCAAAGGGACATTTTGTCGAATAACATTTTCCCAGTTATAATTTCCCAGAATTTATCTAAGAATGGATAGAAATATATGAAAGTCCGGGGTTAAAAAAGTCCACCACCAATTTGTCAGAAAACACTAAAGTTAAGTTTAAACCACTAAAATTGTTTAACAACAATATTTGAAAGTAGAGGGAAAAAGATGTATAACCAGCTATAACCTTGATTCTTATGACTTTGCTATCGGGAGATAAACGGTGATCTTTGAAAATCCGTAATACTTTTTATTAAATTTACTTTAATTCATCGAATGTTATTTGAAACTTTTCAAAAAACAGGTCAAAAAAGAAATACTTAATTCATTTTCTATCTATCCACGCAGAAATTTAAAAATTTTGTTTAAGCTCAGTAGTATTATTTACAATTAAACACAAAATCCAGAATCCAAAAATAATCTAAAAAACTTGAAACGTAATCAATAAGTCGAAAGACCAAAAAAGACTTGGATTGGATTATACAATGTTTTCTATAGAAAGTGTATAAAACTTCCAGTTCAATTGTATTGACAGAATATAGACAAACTAATGGGGTTTATTGTTTTTATAATACCTCATTGTATATAGCATTCAAACAATTCATCCTTATACACTTGAAGTATTATTTTATTTGATTCTCTAGAAATTGTTTAGAATATAGCTTACTTAGCAAAACAACATTTTCCGGGTTAGCTAGTAACAAATAAATGCATATATGGGTTGCAGGGAAATCAAATGAATCATAGTCATTTCAAGATCTTCAAATCCTACAGTTTATTATTAATTTTTCAAATACATCGTCCTTATAATAGAGCTAAAGTATTTTAACCTTTTACAAAATGCCATCAACTTCGATAACATTGATCTCCTTCCTATCTAGTGTATAGTCATGGAGTTTAATAATTTAATATTCAAAATCAAAATCACATAGAAATTCTTGAACTAAATAATCTCGTTATTAAAAATGGAAAGCAAACATTTATGCTTAAATCTAAATATGCACACGAGATATCGGAATAGAAATAACCTAAAGAAAATTTTTATAATTGATTTCTTCTTCCAAATATCTCCAATGACCCTCCATAATAACCTCTCGATCACATTCATTCCCATCGGATTAGAGAATGTATATAAATATAAAAATTAAATCTAAGATTTAGCATTTTAACGATGTTTGATACAACTAATTTTATCTATATATCATCATTGATTTCACTCACAAAACTGGACATCATCTCTTCGACTGACAAATTTCCAACTGAATTATCTGCCAATTTTTCAGAAATCGTCGAAGAGTCGTGACGAGACTTAGAATCGTCGAAAGCAGCAACTGACACTGAAAAATTAGAAAGAAATAAGATTAAACTCTTTATATAAAAGACATTTTTTAAAAAAAAGTGGAAAACAGTCTAGAAAGTAGACTTGTTTCTAGCAAGTCTAGAAACTTGTTGTACTATAAAATATGGACCAAGATTTTGAAAGAGGAATCGATTGAGAGACAAATTAGTAGAAATTATTAACAAATATAGTTAATATCATCCTAGACTGCAAAAAGAACTCTACTGATGAGCAAACTAGTAGAAAATATTATCAAATAAATTTTCTTAACATCAACCAGAAATATAAAAGAAGTGCCTTACTGACGAGCAAACTAGAAAGAAATATTGTCAAATAAATTTAACATCAGCCAAGAATATAGAAAAGAACTCTACTGATGAGCAAACTAGAAAAATAAATATTATCAAATACATTTAGAATCAACCAGGAATATTGAAATGAACTCTACTGACGAGGAATCTAGAAAATTAAACTAGTGGTGTATGGCAAAAATTATTTTTGGTACGGAAAAAAATTGAATTTTTTTGAAAAAAAAAAATGTTTTCTTTATTTTGAAATATTTTGGAAATTTTTAACTTCCCGTAGAGTAGTTATAGTAATGGACCGAAAATCGAAAATGAAAATTTTTGCATTTCGCGACGTTTTGAAGGTTTCTGAACATTTTTAAGGGGCATACCTCAGAAACTAAATGGATGTGTGTGTGTGTTTTGTATGTCCGCTTTTTTTCGTCCACGTTTTCGGGCGCACGGATCACCCGATTTGAATGGTTTAAAAAATATTCCATCCCTATTGATAGGGAGGGAGATGTACTGATTAGTTTTTGGCAAAGGCAGGTTCAGCCGTTACGGAGATATAGAGCAAAGAGTGCAGAAAATAGAAATCGAGTTTTTGAGATCATCCGATCATCCGATTTGTATGATCCAAAAAACATTCAGTTCGTAATGACTGGGAAAAAGTGGTTATTAGTCTTTGGCAAAGGTGGGCTCAGCGGTTTCGGAGATACAGAGCTAAATGTTGAAAAAATGGCAGTTTTTGAGAGAACTAAGCGTCCGATTTAAATGATTCAAAGAACTTTCTGTTTGTTTCAACAAAATAATTGCTTTCGGAAAAGAAAATGTTTGTTTCTAATTTTTTTCTTCAACATTTTTTTTTGTAGTTTTGGATTAAAAATTCAAAAAATTACCCCGACTAAGCACAGTCTAAGCGCCACTCTGGTGCAAATGTTTACACAAGTGCGTTTAGACTGTTTATGTACTGGAGCACTTTTCCAATTTTGTGAGAAAACTATTGAAAAATGTGAAAATGCCGCCGAGCTAAGCACAGTATAAGTGAAAATGTCGCACATAATTATTTGCAAATGCTGTTTTTCAATTTTGTGCAAATTAGAGGCAACTTTTTTTTTTAAATTGAAAATGAAATGACGATTGTTAATGTTCTGGAGATAAATTGATTTATGATTCATTACGATACGGGAAGTTCCAGCAATTTGCCTTAAGGCACGATGCCATACACCACTAGTTTATTTTTTTTTTAAAGCAATCGGTTTAATTGTAGTTAATAACAACCAAGATTGCAAAAAAGAACTCTACTGGCCAGCAAACTAGAAGGAAATATTAGCAAAAAAAATAACATAAACCAATAATTTAAAAAAGGACTCTACTGACTCTACTGACAAGCAAACTAAAATGAAGGATTCTACTGATTAGGAAATTTTAAAAAAAAAGATCAAAAAAGGACTTTACTAACAAGCAAAGTAGAAAAAAATCAAATTTAGCATCAACCATCAAGACCGTGAAAAGAGGAATGCCAAAAACAAATAAAAAAAAAAACTAATCAGCTTTCAATTCAATTTCAAAATTTTTCCCATGCTATTTCCATACGAAGTTTGATCGAATTGCGCTCTATCTAAAAGTTAATATTAAGAGCTAAAACTTTCAGAGAATTGTTTTCTTTATCAATTTGGAACCAAACTAGCTGTAAGTGGAATTCTGTCTTGAGGCAATTATGGCATCGTGCCTTAAGGCAAATTGCTGGAACTTCCCGTACCGTAACGAAATGTTCGAGAAATACTGAATGTTTTCAAATAGATTATTATAAATATTGTAACATTATCTAATATTTATAAGAATTATATAAACTGAATTGCAGAGTTGAAATTATTTGTAAAGTATATTAGAACTATAGTCAGAATTAAAAATAAAATCTGAAATGTTTTCGATATACACAAAACTAAAAAACTTAAAAAAAAAAAAAAAAAAATTGAACAAATTTTTTTTTTCCAAAATCAATTATTTTGTTAAGACAAGCAGAAAGTTCTTTGAATCATTTAAATCGGACGCTTAGTTCTCTCAAAAACTGCCATTTTTTACATATTTAGCTCCGTATCTTCAAAATGGTTGGGCCTGCCTTTGCCAAAAACTCCCCCAATCATTACTAATTGAATGTTTTTTAGTTCATTCAAATCGGATACTCCGTTCTCTCAAAAATTCGATTTCTATTTTCTGCACTCTTTGCTCCGTATCTCCGAAACGGCTGGACCTGCCTTTGCCAAAAACTAATCAGCTCCTTTCCCTATCAATAGGAATCGAATGTTTTTTGAACCATTCAAATCGGTTGATCCGTGCGCCCTAAAACGTGACTGGAAATTTGTATCCATACATACATACACACACACACACAACCATTTTTTCTGAAGTATGCCAAAACGTTCAGAAACCTTCAAAACGTCGAGAAATGTAAAAATTTTCAATTCCGATTTTCGGTCCATTACAATAACTTACCCTACGGGAAGTTAATAATGTTAAAATAATATAAATTTCAAGTAATAATTTACTATTATTACTATCTTACCTGTTTCAACTTTCTCGATCTTAAACAAACTATTATTCTCCAGCACCATTTCTTCGACTTTGGCTTCCTGGACATCATTTTTCTCATCATGGTTCTGCTGTTTAACAGCCGCCACAATTTCTTCGCAACTCGGCAAAACTACATCCTCTGCCAACTTTTGTCTTTTAATTGGAACTTCAGGAATTTCCTCTACTTTCTTGGCAGTGTCTTCATCATCGTTTGGAATCACTAGTAAAGGACCATCATCATCTTCTTCAACGTTATTTGTAGCCGTACCATTGCAATTGTTGACTGATGTTATAATCACAGGTTCTGCTGAAGATACTGAGGTTTGGGAATTCGGGAGAACATCAGAGTTGTTCATGGTTTCGATGGACTCTTGGGAAGTACATATTTCTTTTGTGTCCATCTCGGCATCACTGGCTGATAAATCAGTGCTGTCTAGCACTATAGGTTCTTCCACCGGTGGTACCAAAAATGTATCATTAGGAATTTTATCAGTTTCTTCCTCCTGTTTGTTCAAAACAAGTCCCTTATTTTCGTCCCGGTTCAAACTATTCGTCTGGATTATTTTTTTGATCGTGCACAAAACTTCGGAGCACAAATCCGAAATGTCGTGATCGCAATCGGTTTTTCCTTGGGAAAATATTATGACGGCTTCGTGTGTCGGTGGAGGAAAACGGGAACTTGGATGTAAAACTAGGCTGAAGAATATTTGGTAAAGTAGTTTTCGGCATTTCACACTTCTGTTGTAGATTGTGTCGTTGTTTTGGCCGTTTTGCAGTCGTAGTAATAGGTCTGCAAGTGTTCTTTGGAGATTCTGCGAAAGAAAGATGAAGGGATAGACAACTAGGTGGAAGTGGTTATTTTGCCTTAAGGCAAGTTAATTGACTTAATCAACCAAAATTGAGATTTAGATGAAATTAGTTCGACTGCACTATTACGGGTATCATGCACGTAGTAGGCCTTGATAATATTAAGTTCCCGAATGAGAAGTTTATGTTTTCATCAAAAAATCCGATTCGCTAACTTTATGTTTTCTTCTGGACGTTTCAAGCCATTCTGAATCGAATGAGACCAAATTTGGAAAAAGTATGTGTGTGTGTGTGTGTATGTGAACAGATTTTTTGCTGTAAATCCACGTTTTCACAAAAACGGCTGAACCGATTTCGAAAATTTAAAAGCCATTCGACGTATCTTGATGAGGACTATTGTTCGTCAGTTTTGTGCGATGATCAGCCAAGCCGTTTCTTTGTAAATAGCAGAAAAGTGAAAAATTTTTCGTCCACGTTTTAAGCCCGCAGTTCTGAATCGATTTTGAAAATTCAAAAACCGTTCGAAAGATATTGGTTGGGAATCGTGGTGATTAGTTTTTGGTAAAGATCGGACGAGCCGTTTTCTTGTAATAGCGTTGAAAAAAATTTTCGACAATTTTTTTTTGAGGGTGATATAGTCTTATAGATAATACAAAAATATTAAGGTTAATCCATAAGTCGTTCAATTTTAAAAATTCGTCAAAGCTTGCAAAAATTGATATCGTTTTTTTGGCATTTGTCAAAATTAGAGCTTTCATCGACGTTTGCTTAAAAACGCCTGAACCGATTTCAAAAATTTAGAAGCCATTTGATGTATCTCAGTGAAGACTATCGTTTGTCAGTTTTGTGAGACGATCTGCCGAGTCGTTTCTTTGTAATTTGAAAAAGAGTGTTAAACTTTTCGTCCACATTTAAGCTCATTCTACAAAATCGATTTGAAAAAATCAAAAACTGTTCGAAAGATATTAGTTGGGAATGATACTGATTAGTTTTAGGTGAAAATCTACCGAGCCGTTTTCTTGTAATTAACATATAAAACATCTTATCTTATAAATCATACTGAACTTTTACGTTTCTACGGCAAGTAGTTTAATTTTTAAAAATCCATCAGTCTGAGTCAAAATTTGTGTCGAAAGTTGCTTTTGTGATGTGGATGAGTCAAACATTATCAATTCATTAAAATTTAAAATAATAAGCTACAATTTTAGGACATACAAACACGTGTCTGTGCAATATAATTAATATAATTACAGTTAATTTAAATGTAGTTGAGAAAATTCAATTAAAAATCGCAATGTTTAGATTTAATTGAAAGCGTTAACTTTATTTTTTAAATAAACAGTTGAAAATCTTATCTAAATTCAATTTCGGTTGATTAAGTCAATTCTTACACATTTCGAGAAGTTCATTACTTGACTTAAGGCTTAATGCCACTTTCAACTATAAGGTGACCCATTTAAAAATTGGAATTTATTGATAGCAACTTGCCTATAGGTCACTCTATAGTTGAAAGTGGCATTAAGCCTTAAGACAAGTAAAAAAAATCAATAGCTCCTTATAAAAAAACGACACGGTCTATCTTTAGCCAAAACTAATCAGCACGATTCCCTAAGAATATCTTTCAAAAAGTTTAGGAATTTTTAAAATCGATTCAGGATTTTTGGCTAAAACGTGGACGAAAATTTTGGACTTTGCTACTAATTTCAAAGAAACTGCTCGGCCGATCGTCGCACAAAACTGAGAGACAATAGTCCTCATTGAGATACATCGAATGGCTTTTAAATTTTTGTAATCGGTTCAGCCGTTTTTTTTTTTAAAAACGTCGACGAAAGGTCAAAAATCACACACGTACATACTTTTTCTAAATTGGGTCACAAACGATTCAAAATCACTTAAAACATCGAGAAACGCAAGAACTTTCCTCCTTCGACAAGTAAAAATTTACATGTTTATTCACTTTTTTCACATTTTTCCTTTTTCACATTTTTATCTTTGAATAAATATTTTTTTTAATAAACACGAAACAGAAATTAAATTGTGCATCGACTATTAATTTTTGTATTTTTTTTTTATTTCAATCCTTAAAAAGTAAAAAGTAAATCCTTATATAAAAATTAATATATAAAATGTTAAATCTAATAATAGATTGAGATATATAATTTGAATGAGAGATATGAAAATAACTGACATAACATTTGACTACATATTACATTTTATACATTTTTTAGTACTTTCTCATATTAATAAGGCAATATCTGTAGTAAGTTTATTTCATTTGATGTCTATCTATTTAAATTATTATTATTATTAGTTATTCTATGTTTTTCTTTAATGTCTGTGTTTGATATTTTATAAAAATCTGTTTTATTATTTTGTCTTCAGGCAATCATTATTGCTTCAATATTTTTTTTTTAATCACAAGCCTGCAATATTTTGAAAAACATCTAGCAACAAAAAATTAGCTGAAGCGAGGTTTTTGGCAAAAACTTTATAAAGTATATTGAGATTAATTAAATAAAATATGTGAAATGTTCTTTACCTTTTGCATTGTTGGTTTCATGAATATTCCAGATGAAGACATCACCTTTCGGAAGCATTGCAATGCTATGCAGCATAATTTTTCTTTGCTCTCTCCGAAACCATAAAAACTGGAAATGAGAATCATACATATGTATATATATATATATATATATATATATATATATATATATATATGTATATATATTTTATTTATATTTATATTTGCCTACCTGTGCCATTCCTGAACATCTTGATGTTCTTTTTTCTTCTCATTATTGGCAGCTTTCATATTTTCCAATTTGACTTTAGATTCCTTTGGTGTTATATCAAACAATATAGAGAGGATTATTTCAGTAGTGTGTTGCTCTATAAAACTGCTTAAACTTGAAACTTTCATCCAACTGATTAACGTCTCGTAAGCTGAGAGACGAATTATCCTAAAAAAATTAAATATCATCTATTAATGCTATTATTAACTTCCCGTAGGGTAAGTTATTGTAATGGGCCGAAAATCGGAATTGAAAATTTTTACATTTCTCGACGTTTTGAAGGTTTCTGAACGTTTTGGCATACCTCAGAAAAAATGGATGTGTGTGTGTGTGTGTGTGTGTGTATGTATGTGTGGATACAAATTTCCAGTCACGTTTTAGGGCGCACGGATCAACCGATTTGAATGGTTCAAAAAACATTCGATTCCCATTGATAGGGAAAAGAGCTGATTAGTTTTTGGCAAAGGCAGGTCCAGCCGTTTCGGAGATACGGAGCAAAGAGTGCAGAAAATAGAAATCGAATTTTTGAGAGAACGGAGTATCCGATTTGAATCATCTAAAAAACATTCAATTAGTAATGATTGGGAGAAGTGTTTATTAGTTTTTGGCAAAGGCAGGCCCAGCCATTTTGAAGATACGGAGCTAAATATGTAAAAAATGGCAGTTTTTGAGAGAACTAAGCGTTCGATTTAAATGATTCAAAGAACTTTCTGCTTGTCTTAACAAAGTAATTGATTTTGGGAAACAAAATTTTGTTCATTTTTTTTGTGTATATCGAAAATATTTCAGATTTTATTTATAATTCTGACTATAGTTCTAATATACTTTATAAATAATTTCAACTCTGCAATTCAGTTTATATAATTCTTATAAATATTAGACAATTTTACAATATTTATAATAATCTATTTGAAAACATTCAGTATTCCTCGAACATTTCGTTGCGGTACGGGAAGTTCCAGCAATTTGCCTTAAGGCACGATGCCATAATTGCCTCAAGACAGAATTCCACTTACAGCTAGTTATTATTAATTTTAACGAACATATCTTAAGTACTAAATAAAAATATTGTCTATATAATTTACCTGTGTGTTGGAGTATCAATATCCTGCGTCCATTGCAAAACATTCAAAATAATTTTGCAGATTATTGGAGCGTAGCTTAACATATGTTCATTTGCACTGGAAAAAGATAATGTGTTTTAAATTAAATTAACAATAATTTTAATCTAATTACAAATTTATCTGGCTAGTTCCCGCAATTTTTCTTAAATACACCATAAATTGATATTATATAATAATTATATAACATGAATTATTATTATTATTATTAATTACCAAAACAGAAGTGCATCTAAGGTCTTGAGCAGACTCTGATGAATTTCTGGTAAAAATGCATTTAAAATGATATTGTCGGTTGAAACTCTGGCTAGAACTTTGCTGGTGACAACCAGTCCTCGGTTGATCAAATGCAGAACGAGATCAGGCTGAAGACGTTTTGCTACTGGGAATGGTTCCCTGAAAAAAAAAAGTTACCCATTAACATAACAAAAAAAAAAATTAATGGGTCGCATAACAGACCGATGTTATGAAGAACTTTCCATACTAATTCGTTCTAACTATTGACTTTAATTTTTCTAAGTATTTAATTAATCCATGTGGTTGCTGTGCAGTCAGGCGTATTTCTCAGGTTGTCAGATAAAATATATAACCCAGAAACCGCACAAATGACAAAAAAATGATGTTTGGGGAAGACAAGATAACAGCAAGAATCACTAAAAAAATAATAAATCTAATAGCTCCACTACTTGCTGTTTTAATAAATAGATACATAGAATGTGGTGTATTTCCATCGTGCCTTAAAATGGCTACAATAAAACCAATTTTTTGAAACAGGAAACAAAACAGATCCAAAAATTCTCCAAGATATATGAAAAAGTAATAAAAGAAAGATTACTTAATCTTCTCATTCAAAAAATTGACAAAAATCGATATGCTTTTTAACCGTCATCAAATACTCAAGGTGCATTGATTGATTTAACTAATACCATAAGTGAGCATCTTGAAGAGAATAAGCATACAGTAGCGATATTCATAGACTTAAAGAAAGCTTTTGATACAGTGGATCATAATATATAAATTATGAAACTAATAAAGCTGGGATTAAAAGGTTTGTCACTTAGCATTATCAAAGATTTCCTATCAAAAAGACAAGTAAGGACCGTGGTTGATAACGTGGTAAATGACAGACGCAAAATAAACCGTGGAGTCCCACAAGGCTCAGTTCTAGGACCTTTATTGTATCTCATATATACAAAACAAACTTCAAGAGCCAAAATTAATGGGAAAACATATCCTATACGCCGTAGATACTGCTATAGTCTATGCAGACAAAGACGAAAAAATATTAGAAGAAATCATTAACAAAGACATGAAATTATATTCTGAATGGCTAAGTGAAAATAAATTAACGATCAACATTGGAAAAACTAAGTATATACATTTTAAACAAAAAAAATGTAATGAGATTACTAAAATAAACATTAAAATAAATAATACAGATATAGAAGAAGTGGAATATATAAAATACTTGGGCCTTATAATACACGATAATAATATGGACAAAACATATAATAAAATTAAAAAGAAGATAGCGGCATTAACAGGAGCTTGAAAAAGGATCAATTCTTTCGAGAAAAAAAGATATTGATAATATATTGATTTTAAAAGCGCATATAATACCCATAACTTTATATGGAATAAATACTTGGAGTCAAACAACTAAAGCTAACTTGAATGATATACAGAGAATAATGAACATAGCCATAAAAATATCGTATGATTTTCCACACTTAACACCCACTAAATACTTACAAAGAGAAACAAATATTTATTCACTAAACAACATAATAAAAATAGAGAAATGCACATTAATACACAAAATGAAATATAACAGAATTAAAACAAGTACAACAATAGACACAAATCAAAATATACACGAACACTACACTAGATAACAAAACAATTTTCACATTGAACACAATAGAAAGGATAAATTGAGAGGAAATGTCATATGGAGCGCTAGTAAAATATATAATGAATTGCCAAACGATATTAAGATTACCAATGATGACGATAAATTTAAAAGAAAAATATTATGAAAACTGTTTTCATAATCTCTCATACCAGGCACTTTTGCCTGACTGAGATATATAAAAATAATGTATATATATAAATAAATAAAAAAATAAAAATGTTATTGAACAGAGTTGTTCTGACTCAGCTTCATAACATAGTAGTGACGTTGCAGTTTATGTGCAAAACGCCTGAATGCACATCAAATACATGACATTTTGACAGTATTTATGTATGATTCAAGAGCATAATGTAGGCAAGTTGGAGCTTAACATGGCCTTGCCATAACATTTTTCTATTATGCGGCAGAATGTGCCCATAAATAATAATATAACTAGTACTATTAGTTAAATAGATGTATAAATAAATATTATTCCCCTGCCGTCACTTAGACAAAACAAAATCTCCTGTCAGATTTCAAATTTCAAAATTACAAAATGTGAAACTAATTTAAAAAAAATCTCATGATAACACAAATAGCAAACCGTAAAAATGTCTCGATACAACAATAATCGAATACTGGAGGAGTTTTCTGATGAGCATCTCGAAAGGCTTAGAAAAAAACGCAGAGGCAGCGGAGTGTCAGCCAGTAAAGGTAATAATTAATTAAATAAATGATTTCATTCATAATTATTATTATTTAATTATTAAAGAGGTTCGATGTGTAATCCCTTGTCGGATTATATAATTCTTCTATAAATTATATGAAAACCCCATTGACTCATCAATAATTCACTATATTCAAAATACTCTATTCTATCCTGTATGTCCGCCTAAACTTTGTCAACAGTGTTTGCCTTGTCAATCTGTCTAAAATTTCTCAACATTGCTCGTGCTGTCTTGTTTACCTAAATGTTGTTGAGAAACATTACCGACTTGTTTGTCTAAACATTCTCAACTTTGTCTGTTTGTCGGTTCAAACTTTCTTAATACTGCCTGTTTGTCTTATCTTTCTCAACATTGTCTGACTACCGAAACTTTCTCAACAATGTCTATCTTGTCCGTCTACTTAAAATTTATCATTGTCTTTCTTGTCTGTTTGTTTATACTTTCTAAACATTGTCCATCTTGTTTGCCTACCTAAACTTTATCAGTGTCTCAGCAGTGTCTATCTTGTCTGTCTACCTAAAATTAATCATTTTCTGTCTTGACTTTTTGCTTATACTTTCTCAACATCGTTTTCTGCCTAAACTTTCTCAGCATTGACGTCTTTTCTCTTTCTGTCTGCTTAAACGTTCTCAACATTGTCTATCTTGTCTGTCTGCCTAAACTTTAACGGTTTTTGTCTTGTCCATTTGTCTAAAATCTCTCAACATTGAAAGTCTTGTCTATCTGTCGAACTTTTTTTTACATTGTCCGTCTTGTCTGCCTACCTATTTTTTGCCACTTTGTTTGCTCGTTTGTCTATGTAAACTTTTTAAATTTTGTCCGTCTCGCCTGTCTACCTTAATATTTTCAACATTGTCTGTCTATCTAACTCAACATTGTCTGATTACTGAAACTTTCTGTCTGCCTACCTAAACTTTGGCATTGTCGGTCTCGTCTGTTTGCTTATACTTTCTCAACGAAGTCTGTCTTGTCTACCTACCTAAACTTTATCATTGCCTGTCTTGTTTGCCTGTCTAAACTTTCTGAACATTTTCTCTTGTTTATATGTCTGAAGACTTTTCAACATTGTAAGTCTTGTCTGTTTGTCTGCCAAACTTTTTCTACATTATATGTCTTGTCTGTCTACCTAAACCTTTTCTACATTGTCAGTTTTTTCTGCCTACCTTAAGTTTCTCAAGATTGTCGACCAAAATTTTCCACCGATCTGGTCTGTCGATCGGTCTCAACATTGTCTGCCTGTCTGTCTACATAAATTTTCTCAACATTGTCTGTCTACCTAAGCTTTCAACATTGTAAGCCTGTCTGTCTAAACTTTCTCAACATCGACATTATTTTTCGACAGTCTAAATTTTCTCAACATTGGTTGTCTGTGTGTCTTTATCTTTCTCAACTTCGTTTGTGAACTAACCACACATTCTAAAATATTTATAGCCCTATAGATTGAATTTTAAAAATTTATTAAAGTTTGAAATAATAGGCAGCGCTTTTAGGATAATAAAAATATTAACTAGTGGGGTGGGTGGCATCGTGCCTTAAGGCAAATTGCTGGAACTTCCCGTACCGTAACGAAATGTTCGAGGATTATTATAAATATTGTAACATTGCCGTCTAATATTTATAAGCATTATATAAACTGAATTGCAGAGTTGAAATTATTTGTTTAAAGTATATTACAACTATAGTCAGAATTAAAAATAAAATATGAAATATATTCGATATACAAATAAATAAAAAAAAAAAGGGACAATTTTTTTTTTCCAAAATCAATTATTTTGTTAAGACAAGCAGAAAGTTCTTTGAATCATTTAAATCGGACGCTTAGTTCTCTCAAAAACTGCCATTTTTTACATATTTAGCTCCGTATCTTCAAAATGGCTGGGCCTGCCTTTGCCAAAAGCTACTAAACACTTCTCCCAATCATTACTAATTGAATGTTTTTTTAGATCATTCAAATCGGATACTCCGTTCTCTCAAAAATTCGATTTCTATTTTCTGCACTCTTTGCTCCGTATCTCCGAAACGGCTGGACCTGCCTTTGCCAAAAGCTAATCAGCTCTTTTCCCTATCAATAGGAATCGAATGTTTTTTGAACCATTCAAATCGGTTGATCCGTGCGCCCTAAAACGTGACTGGAAATTTGTATCCATACATACATACACACACACACACACACACACACACATCCATTTTTTCTGAGGTATGCCAAAACGTTCAGAAACCTTCAAAACGTCGAGAAATGTAAAAATTTTCAATTCCGATTTTCGGCCCATTACAATAACTTACCCTACGGGAAGTTAATTAAAGAAATCAATTGAAAATCACTTTTTGTCAAAGAAAATTTTCGAAGTAAACGGTGGAAAATGTTATCTAGTCATCTAAATCTCTTTTTTTTTCATATCTCAGTCAGACAGATGTGCCTGGTATGAGAGATTATGAAAAATAGTTTTCATATTTTATATATACATTTCATTTAACTATTTCATTAATATCTATTATAATAAAATGTCTTTACATCTCTTTTGTCTTCAATTTCCTTATAGTATTTCTTTATTTTTCTTTTAAATTTATCGTCATCGTTGGTCATCTTAATATTATTTGGCAATTGGTTATATATTTTGCTAGCATTCCATATGACATTTTCCCTCAAATTCTTCTTTCTATTGTATTCAATGTGAAAATTGTTGTGTTGTCTAATGTAGTGTTCATGTATATCTTGATTTAAATCTATTGTTGCATTTGTTTTAATTCGGTTAAATTTCATTTTGCCATTAATT